ACGAAGCAGACCTGTATGCATATTTTTTTTGAAACCGAAGATTTATTGGAAAGAAATTTGATCCCATATCTTTTCAGCAATACAGGATATTTAACATTTTATATAGACTGTATTCAAGTAGAAAAGATTACATTAAAAATTTCTAATATTGCACTTGGGACAAGTCGTGGCTAAGCTACTAACATTAGCACTCCAGAACAAAATCATACATAGTCTTCAGAATTTTAGTGAGCTGCCTTGTGTTACCATTGATTTCTTCCCAGGTACTTTGACACACTGTGCTATTCAACCAGCTCACTGCTCAGGGTAATTCCTGTCATTTAAAGGTAAAGGCAAGCAATATGCTTTATGCTACCAGGAATGATTTTGGCAATGTCTTCATTTGCATTATTTCACAATTCAGCCAAAACACTAGCGATTGATTTAACCCTTGTACAAGATCCCAGCACAGGCTGAAAGGCTCCAATGCACATGGGAAGTGAAATACACAACTCCTTTTACAAATTATTTCCGCCAAATTACCACACAGGCAGGAACCTCTGGTGGCTCACTGAAACAGACAAGGAGATGAACCAGTATTTGCACACAGCAAGACAATTTTCACTTGCCAGGCACAGCAGAAGCATGACTGGCACCTCTTCACATTATAGCAGCCTCTGGCCAATGAAGTCCCAACAGGGATGGTCACTGCGACAAAGCCTAAATGGGGGGGCCAAGCCCAAAAGGAAACCTCAGCAAGTTGCAGATGGGGATTTTCATGGAAGTGTAAAGGAGAAATTAACTACTGAGTCAGTATTAGGGATCAGAGAGGTTTTGTTCAAAAAGTGAAAAAAGCAAATCCTGCTTAAAGGGGTAGGATAATCAGTCACAGCAAGTGGCAGTTTGGTGGATGCTGGAGAAAACAGGACAGGGCTTAATTACTAACTAAAACTGTTGCTCTGAACTGGTATTTAAAGACCTTGTTTCATGAAGAGGGATAAGGGTTTGCATTTACAGAAGCATGCAACTGAAAATCTGCTCTGTGCATTTGCAGCTGAAATCTGCAACCAAAATCTACACTGAGGGAAAAGCCATGAACTTCACAATTTGATTGCACAGTGTGTGCAAAGGGTGGAAAACTGCAGTTCAGCAGCAGCTTCTCTCCCCTCGTCTCTTGTTTACACTCCCCAAACAGGTTTACTTACAACAGTTAAAACGAGACACCCTTACTTTCCTTCACCCAGCTTTACTTCTTAAAAAAAAAAAAAAGAATGTTAAGAGTCACTAAGGTCCATTTTATTAGTAGTAGCAGTTTCAATTTTTATGTAAAAATAGTGTCAGCAGTTTTTACTAATGATGCAACTAAACTTTTGCTTTAGTAAGCAGTGTTACATAAAGAGCAGAGTCATTTATTGGGACCAGCACTCTTTGCCTTAGTTTAGCAAATGACACAAGTAACTGAGCTCTCTGCAGGGGCCTCACTGATGTGAGGAGACAATCTACCCAGATCTGTGGACTTACTGCATTAGCCTATAAAGGACCAGTCTCCACTGTGTATATTAACAGGAGTGGTTTTCTTCTACTGTTATTTACCATGAAAAACATTGGGGAATTTTAATCCAGACACTCTAACATTTGTTTTATCTCCTTATTTTGCTGTAGATCCTGTAAAAATCATGCAGTTTGCAGGCTTGGTCTTTGGGATAAAAGGGTTGTAAGCTACTGGTTTCAGTCACAGAAAAAATCCCCACAAAGACCAGTAACCCCACAGTAAGCTTCAGGTACATGAAAAGGTGAGAAAACCATACTTTGAAAAGTTGGCTCAAACTTCAGTAGTGGAGACCTGGATGCTAAGTTTTAGCAGATGATCTGCAGACATTCATCCATCTCTGGATGTCAGCGATTCACACACCTCTTTGTTGAAACTATGCTATGCATCTGCAATAAAGTGCCAAAGCAAAGTGTCACATCAGCAGCCAAGTGCTAGGTAATTAGCAGAACACAAAGTAATGGTGCTTTGGCTCTTGGGGTAAGAAAAGCTGCACTTTCAAATGCATGATTTGTCCTGCCCTAAAATCTGAGCAAGTATCCCCTTAGTAGGTGAAAACAGGGACTGTAGTCACCTACTGAACATGCCCTATACTGTCCTTTGTAGAATTTTGTGAAGCTTATCCTTTTTCAGAAAGCCTAAAAAGGCCTAAACAAAGTAATGGTGCTTTGGCTCTTGGGGTAAGAAAAGCTGCACTTTCAAATGCATGATTTGTCCTGCCCTAAAATCTGAGCAAGTATCCCCTTAGTAGGTGAAAACAGGGACTGTAGTCACCTACTGAACATGCCCTATACTGTCCTTTGTAGAATTTTGTGAAGCTTATCCTTTTTCAGAAAGCCTAAAAAGGCCTAAAGTTCAAAGCTGACTTTTACACTATCCCAAATTATATTTGACAAACAAATGATACATATGTTACTATAAAAACATCAGGTTTAAAAATAATGAAGAAAGTGCTGTCTTGGTTAGAAAGCTCAGACTCGTCCATATGCTTCCAATAGATAAATCTTAATAAGCAACAAAAATATGTCAAAAGGTATTAAAATCAATATTGTGTAATTCTAACAGGCTTGTAGGCTTTTTCACTCTATTTCCCAGATTCAAAAAGTTTGTAGATGTACATTTTAAAAAACTCCACCACCACCACACAAACTCAACTGCCACTCGGCCAGATTCTCACTTGGAAACAAATTGTAGCAGTTGTCTTTTCATTAGGAAAACTAAACCAATGACCAGGTTCAGGGACTTGGGCAGCACTACAGCATTTCAGCAAGTCTGGGAATACTCAGCCCCAAAACATGCTGGTATAAAAATGGTCTAGACCAAAGCCTGCTCTTGGATCATGACACAATTGCAATGAAGTTGGCAGGTGCTTTCCTGTAAAGTGCTATCAGTTGATCTTCTCTAGCCTCAAAGAGCAGTGATACTCACTATTGAAGAATGAGGAAGTCATGCTGTCAGCCAACAAGCAGCAGTCTATATGCAACACACTACAAAACAATATCTCCACCCTATAATCACAACCAGATTTTAATTACTTTTCTGTGAACATACATGCAAATAGTATCTTAAATTGAGTCTTCCAATCTGCTCAACAGATTCTTGCACCCCACCCTGTGCCATGTAACTTCCAGATCCCATCTTTCAGCCAGGAAGTCTGGGCTTGGCAGAGCATCTGCAAGGTGTGATGGGCAGAGAGCCTGACAGAGAGCCAGGCAGGACTCCAGATGAGAGATGTGGAACAGTGCAGCCAGCTGAAAGGGCACTCTGCACCTGCATCCCCAGGACAAGCAAACAGGATCAGAAATCAGCAATAGGGACAGAGAAGGCTCTGAAAACTGGATGAGACTGTAACGGTTAAAAGCAGTAATGAATGTAGCTTTGTACTGCTATTTTTCTTTGCATCCAGTTTTCAGTTCCAAGCACAAAAGTACACCCCCAAGCTCTGTACAAAATCAACATTTGTTTCAATATCTCATGGGGAAAATTCAGGAACCACCTATCAATTTGGCAACCATTGTGTTTTCACATGTAAAGAATCAAAATTCACATTCTATATAGGAACAACAGAATGAATGCAAGAAACTCTTTGTATCTGTTATGAATTCAATAACAGCAGTGGCAAACAATTTCTGCAAATCAATCTTCAGTAATTCCATAGTGCCTAGCACTTACTATGCAGACATTGTCAGCTTCAGAGGGCCTTGATTGCAGTATTACCACAAAACAGGTACAAAAAAAAAATACTCAAAATCCATACCAGTCAGTGGCAGCTATGATTTATCAGAAAAAATGCCTGTCTTGTTTTTTTACTCCACAATGTTCTGTTTGCAATATGTCCTCTTAGAAAATCTTCCATTACTAAGTTAACTACTGCAGCATAGTGGAATTATCACCTGTAATACCAAGTATAGCAGATTGTTTTTGAAAATAACACTCAAATCTGAATAAAATTAATCTAACTGCTAGAAAAACATGAGAGACTAATGCTTCTGGAAAAAACCCCAAACAAACAACCTCTACTGCACTGAGAATTTTCTCTCCCCCATGAAAACATACAAGGCTACAGTAAGACAAATATATCAGACTTGTCAGTCTGGGAAAAGCATAATCTTAAACAGCATGAAACATGGTCCTTTTTTCCACTTAGGTATAGTTACTAGAAACAACTATTTTCAGTTTTTGGAAAAGCAAAAAGTTATCTCACTAATCACTGTAATAAAAATTATTACAACCTATTAAAGTAGAGATTTAAACTTTCACAAACAATTTCAGGATTTAGTTTTTTTCCACCACATGATTTGGAAAATAAAAAAAACTTGAAGCATTGTTTCCATCACCAGCATCTTCCCTCAGCTGCCTGTTAAGTGACGATGAACATGAGTAGCATTCATGTAATGTCTCATTACTCTCAACAGTATGAAGAGACTAAAAATTGGAGTTAGATCTAATACTTTGACTGAAATAATTTTCACAAGACATGTGCAACAAAACACCCAGCTTGATTTGGAAACAAGTCTCTTCACAACAGCTTTGCCTTTTACATTTGGAATTTTTCTGTCTGGTAAGATGTAAGTATAATGGAAGTCTAACATCTACAGTTATGCAAGTACACCCCCCCACATACATCACTAGTAAATAATCAGACTGCATACAAGATTATTTGTAAAAGTCATAAAACCCTTAGATGCTCCACATTTATGCTGGCAAATAGCTCTCTTGATATAAAAGGCACTTTGAAAACCCAATATGGTTCGGTTCATTAAGTTTGCAAAGTACAAACAATTGTACAAACATACAATTATATTGAAGCATGTCAGCCATTGTGACATTATCTACAAAACAAGTTTCCAATTGTTGGTAACACTGGTTCTATGGGAATGAGCAGTGGTTTCAGCAGCTTTACTGAAGACATGACAGGGTTTCCAGTACCACAATCTTATTAAGTAAAAAACCCTCAAAGACGTAAAAGTTTAGGGGCCCCAAAAAACCCAAGACCCAAAGTCCATAACATTCATTCAATATTTACTCCTTAGAAGTGAACTCCATGGATAGCCCAAGGGCAGAAATCCTTCAGTTGGTTCCAGAACAGCAGAGGAGGAGGCTCTGTCTCGAGAAGTGTGTTGTTATACCAGTACAGTACTGAAAACTTTGGTCCAACAGCACAATTCCAGAAATTCACTACATGGCTGCAACATCAATCTGTATGTAAAGCTGTCTCACTCCCGCCTAGAGAAAAGGGAAGGAGAGTTTAAAAACCTGTAAAGCCAAAGCAATTTACCCGTCCTGAACATCAGTCCACAACAGTAAGCTACCTAGCAAAAAGCCTCAATGTCTTATTTTCCTGTAATTCATCTCTCACATTTCGTCAACATTCACTGAGATCTCCATATGAATACAGAGTTCTTCTCACAGTCAGGTGCACATGAGTAATGATATATTAACATTACTTTTGCTACCATTACTTTTCCTGATTCACCCTTAATAACTGCCAGATATGAAGCTGCACAAAAGCAGTTCTTACTTTATTTTGTACAAGTTTGACTTCCTCAAGAACAAGCTGCTTGAAGAGCTGTCAGTTTAAAATGGAGCTAAGCACAAGAGTGTAACATGGGATTAGTTGTTCAAACCAGTTCTACACTGATTTTTACAAGAAGCATCAATGGCTACAGTGAATTTACATGACATCGTGACAAAATAACTTTTGGTAAAGGTATGACAGTTGTATGAAAGGTTTTCCTCAGAAATCCTATTAAACTAGATTTAGATGGACTTGCTTAGTTCTATCATCATTCAGTATGAAACAGTATTACAAAAATCATCCAGTCTCTCCTTTTACCCTCAGTGCCAGGCCAGCAACAGTCTTGTGATGGCCACTGATTATCTAACGTGATCTTAAAGCATTGGGATGAACACTGCTAAAGTTCAGATGGTCTTCAACTCTCAACTTGCTCTCACTTGAGAGGCAAAACCAACTGTCAGTTACATTAAGATTAATGAGAACCAATATTACTGAGGAGAAAAATCTCTACTTGCTCCAACTGTTTCATTGCTTATTACCATAGGTCAGATAACAAGAGCAATAGACCTTCCTAGACACACAGCTCTTGACACGTGCACAGCTACACAACAGCTGAAGAGCTAACAACTCACTTGGAAAATGCAATCCTTTGAAGACTTGATATGTCAGATTAGTTTTACTGTAATAGAGTAGTCTTTCCCAGAAATATCCCTTAGCTTCAAACAACATAGTCTGAAGAATAAGCTGTGCAGACATTTTTCTACCTACTCAATAATCTAGCTGTGTGTGATATAACATGTTAGAAAGGGCAAAATTTTGTGAATAAAGCTTGATTTTCTTCCCTGAGTCTCTTCCTATAAAAACAAGTACATGTAGTTATTTTATTGGGTTCCCCAGGACAGATTACTTTAAAACTCCTTAAACTTTTAGGAGTTAAAAAAATTTCATGCACAGGAAGCACACTGTAAGGTTGGCTTCAGTGATGTTTCTTCTGAGAGTCCACAGACTGAATAAGCAAAACACATGAAAATAAACCCAATCTGGAATTTTATCAAAACAGTTAATAAAAGGGATGTTTATTGGATCATAAATGATTCACTAAGCCATCATGTGCACAAGCTGCCAATGCAGTAGATCAAATACAACATTCAGGACACAAAGAACATGCATGTGAGCACTCAAGGACTTTCCCCACTGTGGAAAGCTTTGGAAAGCACATTTATGCAAACACTAACCAAACTGCTGAGAGAAGTGTTTTTTATTTACAGCATCCAGTATAGCTGACCAGAAGCTCCCTTTCTTCATGGCCTACCTGACTAGGAGAAGTCAGCCAAACTGAATTTCATGTGGCATGGTTAAAAGTTTAAGGAAGCAACAGAAACATCTTCCTGAAATTTATACGATTTTAATCTTAAGGCAGGAACTATAAACTTCCAAGAAAGTTTCTCTTGTTCACAAGAATTCCAGCATTTCCTATCAGCTACAAGTGCTATCAAACCCCTTCACTATGTATATGAAAAAATGTAACTTGTAGGGACATTAAAGGAGAATGCACTGGCTGTATACAAGAAGATGGTTACATTTTAACTAGTGATCACCATAGCCTTGATTCTACTGAAAGACAACAAAATATGCCAAGTCCATGGAGCCTCGGAGGGATAGAAATGAATGACAAATACAGCATCAGCACAGTGAAAAGCTTAAGTAGGTCCAGTCTGTGGTCAGAAGCTCTAACCTGAGGGAAAGCTCACAGCTCAATATAGGTCAATCCAATTTGATATACTTGAGACAATTACAGGTGTTATTTCCATTAAATAGCATCAAAACATAATGCAGAGAGGCACAATAATTCCATCTACATAGCTGAGTATTTTGAAATTGTTCTAAACAGCTGGAGCAGAGAAGCTTTTCAAAACACAGATACCAAACCCAAAACATTAAACTTTTCTTTGTAAGAATTACAATGTCACATCATGTGACAGGCAACTTACACTTTGAGATGTGATTTCCACTGGTAAGACATACCTGAGTAAAAATATTGTGAGTCTGGCTTAGAATCCATCTTCCATCAGCATCAGGAGCTACTAATAATTTCAAAGTCCCTATGTAAACATCAGTACAGAGGGTCCAGAAATGTGGATCATGTAAACTGTACACTCCTTGCAACTGCTGCACCTAAAAATACAGGCAAATTTTAGAAAATATATTTCAGAAAATGTTTGTCGGTACTATGTTTTTTTTCAGAAAATATTACAAAAGCCAATTTGTGATCTTTCACCTGAATTCCTTATTACTAATCTCAGTTACTGTAGGGCAGGTGGAAACATACAGACTCTGTGTGTGTGTTGTGATTTGGTTTCCTGCTGCATTTACATTCTATGTAAGTTTTAGTGAAATAATTTCTGAACATAGAGGTATCCAGGAGAGAAAAGTCACAGTTACTGGATTTAAGAGGGCATTCCATTAAAACTGCAATTTTTACAAGTTTTGTATGAAACAATTTCTGAGATTCTAACTTTAATAGAAATATGTTCATATATAATTTATATTAACAGAGTAATGTTCCTGTAAATATTTTCTGAGGGCTCAGGTTTGTCCTGCCAACCCTCTTCTTTTAGCTCTGTCCAAATTTAGCAAACCCACTGTGTGGTGACTGCAACCTGTAACTTCCCAAGGAAAGACAACACTCCTACAAGTGCTTTGTACTGATTTTGCAAAGATATTTCAGTGTTCAGGCCATGACATAGTAATAGTAAGTTAAACAGGAGAACAGGCAAATCCAGAGTCATCTGCACGTTCTTATACATATACTTTCCATGTCACTCCACCTCATGTTACTAACAACTAGATTTTGAGGGAGACAAAACCTGAACAAAACAGAAAAACATATTTCACTTTGGGAGGAAAGTTCTTAACTAACATAGCACATTTTTAAAACACAAACTAAGGTGAAGCTACATACAATTTAGGACTGCAGAGAAATATTAATTAAACTGGTACCTCCATCTGTGCATTCTAAGGAACCTTTCACAGGCATTACTGGCAAAACAAAAATATCCTCATACACACAGCTGAGGCTCATTGAGTCAGCAGCTTGAGCAGCAAAAATGGCTTAAGAGCTCACCCTCTGGTAGCACTGAGGCAGGGCGTTTTCCAGGGAAGGAGGAGTTCGCTGCATCAAAATCCCAATGGATTCTTTTAGAAGTGGAACAATACTAGAAAGAAAAAAAGCAAATCAGCTACTATTACATGTCCAAAACATGCAGAGAGCAACCTAAGATTCCTTAATGTTCTTGAGAATTTTTTCTTTACTTGTTCCACCAAAAGCCAAGAAAGTTGTCATGAAAACCTGGCACAGAAAATAAAAGGACTGACGAAAATGCTGTGATGTCTTATCAAAGGCAAGATTACTTCTCCCCAGGACTGGTGGCCAATCACAAAAAGATTAATAGTTTAATCACAGGAGTTGAGATAATTTGTAAGACACTAAGAGAATTCATGTGACAAAGCAGTTGATAAGTATAGCTCAAAACCAAAACCTGCTTCAATGGCAAATCATTCACACACAACTACAAAAATATTCAACTGAAATGGGTTTTGCTTTTGTGTTTGGCTTAAGGCATATTTTTCTTATGAACTAAGATAATAATGAGGCAATCATAAAGTGAAATTAGCATGGACCAGTCCTGCTATAAGAAAACTTATGTCATTAGAAACACACAACTTAGCATATTCTTGAAATGAACTAAGTGTAGGGTCTCATCCAAACTCACAGGTTAAACATTTGGAAGTAACCAGAGGTCCTGTTCAAATGGTCTTGTACATTCAGCAAACTAAGGTGACATTCAATACCCTTTTTTATTATTATTACTTTTTTTTCATAAAACCAGAAGAGCAGTAAGCCCATACCCTGAAGCTACCAATAAAAAGTTATGCTCTTACTAAGTATTCAGCATGGTGATTTTTTTGTTTAAGGTTAAACATTTGGAAGTAACCAGAGGTCCTGTTCAAATGGTCTTGTACATTCAGCAAACTAAGGTGACATTCAATACCCTTTTTTATTATTATTACTTTTTTTTCATAAAACCAGAAGAGCAGTAAGCCCATACCCTGAAGCTACCAATAAAAAGTTATGCTCTTACTAAGTATTCAGCATGGTGATTTTTTTGTTTAAGTG